AAATTATAGCCGCCGAGGCAAGCCTCACGGCATTGCTCTGTCTGACATATTAGACATCACATTATCTAGCGAAATTCAACATGATTTATTTATTTTCTGCCCACTATTTCACCGAACACTAGAGGCATGCCGCTCTCGTTTGGTGTAGTTCTTTTAATTAGCAGCGTTGCCGTTTGGGTACAAAGGTACCCAATTCGCTACATTTTTTCCCTCGGGGTATAAAAGTACATTTTAAATAAAACATAGATTTTTATTTGAAAATTGTAACAACATTGTTATGTTGTAGTAGAGTATTTTCCTTTAGTAGATGGTACTATACATATTGTTCTATTGTTTTCCGATTTAACGAAAAATATTTTTTTTCTATGCATTTACCAGATTGGCAACATTGGTACATTTTGGAACATTTCTGCAAAATTGTTGTAGTAAGAGTAAGTAGTAGTTAAATTACTTCCTGTTGACCTCGTTGTGCGGCAGGATCACGTTTGACGTATCTCGTGTTGCTTTTCATTAAAAAAAAACAGTAAGATTACATGTTATATAATAAGTGCAATTCTAATTAAGTTTTTTTAATAATTTTGGTGGGTTTGTTTTTGTCTGCAGGATTTTCGGTTTTAGTGAAAAATGGATTTAGCACCGAGCACTTCGTCACAACTTTCCCAGGTAAATGTAAATATTCGTAATACTTGTGATCTTGTAAATTTTTTAGTCAATCAGCAGAATTTTTCAAGTCATTCATATGAAGATAAATTATATATAGTTAAAGTCGTAAAACGACCTATTCCAGATTTAAGTAAACATCTTGTTTCTATCGGTGGCGTCGGAAAACCAAATCGGGGATTTCAAAATGCATGGTACGAAAAGTTTGACTGGCTTACGGTAGTATACATTAAATAAATTGTTTTGTTGGCCATGCATTTTATTTGCCACAGCTAATACTAGCGACAAAGTTTGGTTCAAAAGTGGTTATACTGATTTGAAAAATTTGTCTCGGAGTCTATTGTTACACAATAAAAGTTCTCAACATATTACATCGAATTGCAAGCTTACTCTTATGAGAAAACAAAAGCAAAATATCGCCACAGCACTAGACAATTCGCGTAAAATAGATATTGAAAATTTCAATGCTAGGGATAAAGAAAATCGGCAAATTTTAAAAGGCTTATAGATATTACGTTACACCTCTGTATGCAAGAGTTACCGTTTAGGGGGCATGATGAATCTAATGAATCTTTAAATCGCGGGAATTTCAAAGAGCTAGTTGTTCTTGTTAGTAAATTTGACACTAATTTAAAAACATTTTTAGAACATGATAATGACTCTAGATCAGTTTTTTCTGGGACATCTAAAACCATACAAAATGAATTAATCGATTCAATTGCTTTTGTTATAAATAAAAAAATTGAGGAAGAAATTTCAAAATCATTATTCTTTTCCTGGCAGGTGGATGAGACTACTGATATAAGCTGCCATTCACAACTATCCGTTATTTTTCGATACGTAATATACGATAAACCAGTCGAACGATTCATGGGATTTTACGATGTAAGTTCCGGGCGTTCTGCTCAAGATTTATTTGAATTTTTATCTACCAAATTTCGAAAGTTCAACTTGCATAGTAAATTAGTGGCTCAGACATACGATGGAGCTTCTGTAATGTCGGGAGAAGTGAATGGTCTACAGGCAAAAATTAAATCTATAGCGCCTCAAGCCATGTTCATTCATTGCTATGCACATGTATTTAATTTAGTTTTAAGTAACGCATGCAGTTCAATTCAACAAGTTAAAGTTTTTTTCTCAACCTTATCCGGTTTTTCTTCATATTTTTCTAAATCTACAAAGCGTACCCAAGTGTTAGAACACATTGGAGGAAATCGTATACCTTCTAATGTAGCAACTCGCTGGAATTTTACTTCACGCGCAGTTCTCACAGTTAATAATAATAAGGATAAATTACTTGAGACCTTTGATTTTATTATTAATAGTCGCGATTTTGATGACAAAACAATAAGAGAAGCAGTAGGTTTAAAAGCTTTTTTAGAAGATCCTCAGAACATATTTTTTTAGAAATATTTTCGTTGATTTTTCATCAAACTGATACTGTTTTTTCCATTCTACAAAATAGAAATACAGACATTGTTAAGGCCAGAAATTTACTTCAAAATACCCTAAGTAAAATACGTGAATTTAGGAGTAACAGTACTTATTTTGATACAATTTATGAAAAACTGGATACCGCTGCGTTACACTCGAAACGTCGTCGTAAGGGAGTTGAAATGACTGATAAAACTCAACAATTAAGGCAAATTTTTTTTGAAATTCTTCACATTATAGCAACCCAAATAGAGGTTAGGTTTTGCGACGTTGAAAAATTACATTTCTTTGATCTGTTGAATATATCAAAATTTCCCATTTTTGCTAAAGAATTTCCTCATGATCTATTAAAAAACTTGACAACGCAGTATAATATTTTTGATATAAATCAACTAAAAAGTGAGTTATCCGCTATGTACGGGAATGATATAATAGAAAATTGCGCAAGCCCTTATGAAATGTTAACTTTTTTTCACGATTATGATTTAAAACTTTGTATGCCAGAAGTTTTTAAATTATTATGCATTTGTGTTGTTTTGCCAGTGACAAGTGCTTCTGCAGAAAGGAGTTTCTCCGCGCTAAAAAGGATTAAAAATTACATCAGAAATACAACTGGACAGACACGATTGAGTAATATGGCAAAAATCTCAATTGAAAAATCATTTATAAAATCACAGGATGAGAACGTTTTTATAGACGATGTAATAGATCATTTTGCAGAACAGAAGTCTCGCAGAATTCCTTTAATTTATAAAAAACTTTAAATTTTAGAACTCAGTTTTCCTTTTAGAATTTATATTTTTTGAAGTTTTTCTAAAATAATTATAATTTTTAAAAATCGTGAAATAAAAAACCAAAAAACAAAATTTAACCCTTTGTTTAAGTTTATTTAACGTAAACGGCCTCACGTTATGATGTCACAAAATCGACCTTCCGGCTAACATCTTACGACGAGAACGATCAATGGAGATATGCTAGACCGAAGCTTCAACTGAAGGGATATGTGAGAGCGTGAAGAAGATGGCACTAGATTAGCAGTCGCCATTTATAACACTTACTAACAAATCTCCCAGATAAAAAATACCTACTAACCCCCCAAAAAATATAAAAATCCCAAAAAAATTAATAAAAAATATAAAGATTCAAAAAAAAATATAAAATAATAAAAAATTCACAAAAAAATTATAAAAATAAAAAAAGGCCACGGTAGAGGCCACCTAGATCCTTGAGGCTACAACTTGGCCGCTAACCAAGGTGCAGGCTCGAGGATTAGAGCTCCCTCGTTTTTCGTTCGCTTTTATCTCACGATACGAGATTTCATGATAAACCGGAGTAAGTCGCTTAACGACACCTTGGGTATCATTTAAGTTACATTTATGAGCACCCTATTACACATGGTGCTCATAAATACAGCTCAATCGCGGACTTTTTCAAAAAGCAGTCAGCCCTTATGTTGCACCTTCAGTGCACATAAGGGAGGGTGGAGGAGGGCTTAGGAGAGCTTTGAGGTGAGGATGACTTTTGTTGATCCGCGCGCGTATCGTCAGAAGTCCTTCTCACGCCAAGTCATTGTTTGCTGGCGCGAGCAATGCCTCCTTAGCCGGGTATGACTGGAGCAAAGAGAAGCTAACCATAATAATAATAATTTTCCTAAGTGTAGTGTGCCTCACCATCTTGTACTATCACGAGCCGCCCCTGCCTCTTATTCTTATTCTATAGCTTTACACATTATAATTCTCGTGCTAATAGGTATTTAGGTATAATCTGGTATCATTTATTTATCTAGAAAACATAATTGATGAAACATTATGAAAGGGGCAAACATATTTCAGTTTGACATTTGCACATTCAGGCAGTTATTTTCTTGCATTTAGGTCGGTGGTTAGGAGGTCACGACTATTCAAGTAAAATGTCAGGAATCGGTGAAGCTGGTGCTAAGTGTAAAACACGTTTACGTTTATCTGATGATGCCAAAGAAATTATTAGGAATGTTTATCAAACAGTAAAAGAAGACAATCCAAATCTAGATTACGGTAAATTACTCATCAAGGCAACATCTCGATTGACAAGGATGCCATATACAACAATGCAACAATGTGGAAAAGTGTTTCCACTTTGACAGATAGAATTCACCTCGTAAAAAGCGGAGTGACATTTCTACATATAAAGCAGTAAATCAAAAAGACGCTGAGGTAATTAAACAGCAGTTTATAATTTATATTCAAAGAACCTAGTTCTAAATGCTTAGTATGATCACCGATCAACTTGTTAAATACTATTCTACCTACGTATTCGCCTTCAACTATATCACGGTTTGTGAATCACATTGGTTTTCGATACAAGAAAATTAATAAGCGATTATCATTAATGGATTCCCTTCGACTAACTAACTGGAGAAATGATGACGATTCTACTAAAGATGACAGCGATAGTGACAGAGTTGTAATTTGTAATTATTTTTTTCCATCTAAACTTCAAATTTTATTTTTTTATGTTATTGTTTCTAATTTTATTATTTAATTCTGATTTTTGCTACCAATCTTTTAATATTTTACCGTTATTAACATTATTTTCCTTAATATCTTTAATTTGTTCATTTCTCTTATTTCATTGCACATAATAACATACCTATAACTACATAGATATAAATACCTATTAAATATATATTTAATTTTATATTTATTATTCCAACCCTATTAAAATATGATATGTACTTGAAGTTTTATGTTAATTTTAGAGAATCCGCTCCTGGAGGGTCTGTTGTTTGTTATTATAATACTAAATCGGTAGGGTGGTCCCACCAGCGTCAGGCAAAATTTCTTATATCTTGACGGAAACTATACCTATATAAACTTTCATTTTTATTTTCTAGATCATAACTTATTTAGCTTTTTAATTCAACTTACATTTTCCTCCTTCAATTTTTTTACACTGTAATTGGCATCAGCTAATTTGTGCGATAAAGTAGCTACATCCTTAGTAAGTGTTGTTTTTTCAGTCTCACATACATCTACTAATTTTAAAAGCTTATCTTCTAGTCCTTGGTTTACTCTTTGTACTCTCCTATGGGCTTCATATAACCTACAAAATAAAAGACTATTATAAAAACTAATACTATGAATGAAAATAAAAAGAAAAAATGGGGTAAAATACACCATCATTAAGCAAAAACGTAGCATAATATGGGAATGACTTTTCAATCGCAAATTTCTAGAATGTAATATTAATACTACATTTAAAACGCCATGCATTTTATCCTGGTATTATGTTACAGGAAAACTCTAACTGTGCACTTTTTTCGTTTCTGTATTTTAATTATCCTCTTCCGAAAAGATTATTCAAAAACGATAACAATTCATGTATTGTATACACATCAATTACGCCGAGATATGCCGCATTCAACGATGTAATAATTGCTGATAAATGTTTTTCTTCTCTAAGTAGGTAAACAAACTTCAAATTGAGTATGGCCACCAGGTATAAAGGTTGAAGCAGAATAAAATACAATAGTTTTGAGGGGTTATAAAGTTGTCAGTGTCGGAGTGATGGAGATTAACAGGTACTAATGAATTTGCAAGGAATGTAAGATGTTTATTTTATTGGTTATATATAAAATAATTTGTGGCCGTAACAGGTGCTGATTTGTAAAAAAAGAATATTATTTTAATCAAATTCCATTTCAGATTCACTGCTTTCTTCAGAATCTAAGGAATATTCAACTCCAATGTTAATTATTACCGGTTCCAGCATAGCATCAGTCATATTATCCAAATTCCACATTTTATTTTCTTCCTTGTGAGCATGACTAACAGCATTTTTCCTATTTTCTGGAGTTACTTTTGATAAGGAATGTTCTAAATAATTCAATATAAGGTTAAATGTTCGAATAATTAAACTTTGATAGTATACAACGCAACTATCGAACACAGTGATTAATTAAATCTTGCCCAAGTACTTTCGATCAATAGATCATCTTCAGGGGCATTTTGTCAGTTGTGGCCTATCCGACATTAGTAGAATGCCATACATGTAAATTTGGACATAACAATACAATACACAAAGACAAACAAACACTTTAAAATTTTTAAAAAGAGAAGCTACATGTTATATAGAAGCCGGAGACAGAATGGGCTCCCGGTCTAGCGGAAATGTTGAATGAACAGTTCATTCTTCACTCAACACTTCACAAAGTGTTTTCTTATGTATTTTAGTGTATTGCAATAATCTTAAAACTAAGTGTATCTACTGTTAATAATATTTCCCAAGCTTTTAAAAATAATGAACTTTTAAAATCAATTTTGAAAATGTGATTATTTTCTTTATTATAAAAATCCTATTGAGTAGTGTATTTTATTCTTAAATAGTTCTGATGTTTTGGCAACGCTGTAGGGTTTCTGACGTAAATCTTGAATAACGTGAACTCTTTTTTATATGAAAAATTCTATAGTAAATTTATACTTGCTTGAGCATTTTATAATTTTTTTATGGTATGTAAACTAATAATTATAGAATATTTTAATCCGACAAAAGCAAAATTAAGTAAGTTTATTATGGCATAATATTTTTTCAATCTGTTTTGAAAGTGTTTGTTTATCTTGTTATGGGTATTAAAATATGCTTATAATATTTTAGGTGTACTTCATATCTGTATACATGTACATGTATTATATTTGTTGTAAAAACAGTAAACATTATTTTATCTATTACGTGATAGTTATTATCACATTTAGCGCCACGCTGTAATTGGTTTTTCACTCCCTTGGACCAAATATTTAAAATGTTTTTTTTTTTAGAAACCGGCTTTTTAAATGTTTATTATTGTATTTTAAACAACACTTTTTTTCAGCTTTGTTTTTTCTGTTTTTTAGTGCCCACTGGTGATCACGCGGTCCCAGGTTGTAATTTTACATTGTGGGACCAAATGTCCACCAGTGGTCACGCATTTCATTATTTCTTTCCTTGCAGATGTTAAACAATAATGACAAGAAGAGGGCTTACAGAAGAAGAACTGCTTTAGAAGAAAATTTTTCTGATGTTGAAGCAGCAGGCTATTCCGAGGATAACTCCATTGCAGATCGAGATTACTCATATGATGAAGATCTGATTCAAGTGAGGATGAATTAACTGCATTTGATGTCGAGAACAAAGAAGAGGTTCCTTTTAACGATAATATACCCCAGACCAACTGGGAGCCAGTAGCAGGGGACAGATTGAAATTTAATTTTCTTTATGCCTACACCGGTGTACCTGAACATATAATCCAGAAACTTCATGGAGCCTATAAGTTTCCACAAACTTATAATCCTATAAGTTTGTGGAAGAAACGAATAGATTTCCTGCACAAAGAAATACTGCGAATGAAGCTGCCCCAGCAAGAAGAGGAACTCCAAGACTTAGTAAATGGGTTGACACTTAAAGAGATGCGCAAGGTTTTGGGCATTGTCTTGTGGATGGGACTTATGCATTTGGCAAAACTGCGGGATTACTGGAGCAAAAAAAAAAGGAATTTATGAAAATGGAATTCCAAAAATTATGAGCCACAATAGATTTGAGATGTTACTTTCGATGTTTCATCTATCAAAAAATGAGCAATAAATCGACACGGAAGAAAGACTTCACAAAATCTCTAAATTTTTAAACGCATTAGAAAATAAATTCAAAGAATCAGCTCAACATCGCTGCTTTAAAAAGAAGAATGAAGCTACAACTTTTTAAACAGTGATATTGATAATGTAAATGTTTTTATGTTCATTAAAATAACCACAGTTATTGTTATTTATGTGTTTTTCTAATATCGGTACAACCAATCTCAGTGTTAACTGAGTTTTTTCCGTATCTGAGTTGGTGACAGTCTTAATTACCTCGGATAATCGCGAGTCTACTGTATATACATAATTATTTTAGTTGCTTACAAATGATGTACATATATTGATATATTGTTGCCTCGCTTTATAAACCTTTTTTTATTACAGGTAAATACCAGTGTTACTTTAATTTAGATAAGAACAATGTTTAAGATAAGAATACAAACGAGTAATTAATTTTAACTGCATGTATGCAATAATTATAATTTTAATTATATGCAATTTTGCATAAAACCATTACACGTGAAAAATATTGTATTTAAAATACCTAATTATCAAACTGAAGTAGCAGCTACCAACGTATTTTCATAAAAAAATTATTTACAATATATTTTTATCTTCTTTCTACCTAAAATAATTTAAACTGATTAAGACTGGATGGTTTATCTGCAGATTGTAAAGCCTAAAATATTTACTTTGAGATTAATAACTGAAATTTAAGTATTAATGCATAATGCACAGGTGTACATATTCGAGAAAAATAAAATGATGTATTCCACTTAAAGCAGATAGACAGTTAATACATAAAAATGTATATTATGATGCTCTGAAATAGATTGATATTTTGGCATTCACTGATGGTATAGTTATAGTGGAAGAAGTATAAATGACGTATAGTGTCTTACAAAGTTTACGAACGCGACAAGTGAACTAGGACCTGTAAACAAGGAAAATACCAAATATGTTGGTTGCAATAATCCGAACTAACCTTTGAGCAAGACAAATAATTCATATATCTTGGATCGCTAGTAAATACAACAAATTCGACATGTGACGAAGGTCTTTTTCTATTCTATTCAGAACACGATTTTAGTTAGAAAATTAGACAAGAGAATATAATAATGGAATCTACATGAACTCCATTTTTGAGGTACCCAAATTCTAGTACGGTAAACCTACTGGAGAACAGCAGAGATATGAGAAGACTTAAGAGACACAAATCCTTGGACTTACCCGACAAACAGGACATATTGCAAGTCTTTACTTGGAAAATAAAATAAAAAAAGTATTTCAATTGCACTGCTTATGATTGGCAAAATAGCTAAAATCCATTAATGGATCCCACAGAGATGGAAATGGGGAAATCTCCCTTGAACAAGGTCCCAAATTAAAGAAAACCTATTATTAATGTCTTTAATATCCTTTGGGTTTATTTTTTTATGCCTTCCCCCCAAGGCAAATGTCAAGTCAAATCTGCCACTGGTTGTATGCAACTGATATTGTAAAAACCATACAAATAATTTCAAACATACTGATATAAGATGATTTATTTTAAAATAGGTCACACAAAAGACAATACAAAATTTCAAAAAGATTTTAAAGTAACTGTTTCCTTACCTTTTATATTTATCCTGCCACGTTAATAATTCCTCCTTGATTGTAGCTAACTCTCCACTAGGAGGTTTGTGTGTTTCATTCAAAAAATTAGTTTCCATTGTGACAATGTGGTTTTCCCTTTCTAATAATCTTTGTTTGAGATTTTCAATTTCTACATGAAGCTGAACATCGTGATCATGGGATATGCATCTTTTGCATGTACAACCACAGTCCTAAAAAAGTATATCATGATTGGCTAATGGTAAAGAAAAATAATTCATCAGAAATTAAGGGGTCTCCAAATATTTCTGTATCATTTTTATAATCCTTTACTACTTGTTTCTTGTGGCCAAAATTCACTGCTTTTAAGTTGCTAAGTATATTGTAGAAGTGTAATAGATGATAGAAAGCTTATATTTGGGATTGTAGAGTATTTTTTGACACGTATTATTAACATTAGGACATATGGAAGCAACTGTAACTTCTAATGTGAGATTTTATGAGATCTACCTATCAATACATTAAATTTTGTTTTTAAAAATAACTTCATTTTATTTACCTTGCATTTGTTGGCCATAGTTTCAATATCAAATACAAAAAGAATACTGCGTTTGGAAGCACTTATTTACCATAATCTTCGGAAAAACCACCTCTAAAATTCCAAAGAAGTTTGAAATTGATAGCCTTGGATACTTCCAGGAATAAGGAAATACGTGTTTAAAGAAAATGGTTTATTAAATTTTTAGTTTTTTGTAATAGCCAAATAAATACCCTATTTTTAAAACAGATTGTCACTGTACAAACAAATTTCACGACTTGATGTGCAATATTAAATGTTTTGTTAATCCTTTCATTACGTGACAGTACCAAAAAACCCAAAACAAGGAATATGATTATGACATATAAATTATATTATATTGACGTTTAACAAATTCCCAACATTCCTTAACCAATGTGTTTAGCTCATTGTGGTACCACACTTTTCGATTAGTCTTTCACCTTTCACACTAATAGTTTGATTATATCAAACGGTAAATGTTAGAAATTATTATTTCAAAAGAATTTCCACACAAAAACTACAATGAAGTGAAGTGTAGTATCAATGGCTTACCGTTTCTAGTGTTCTAATGTGCATTATGATTATGCAACCAGAAATACTTATTTCATACATTTCATTTCATAGAAATTATATGACCAAGTTGAATTTTGCTGACTGCTGAGAATGTTACTTTTTGCTTTTTGGATCCCAAAAATATGCAACGAAGTTTACTACTTCCACCTATACAACGGAAACGGAAAAATTCGATTTATTAAGAATCTGTAGGCCGTAGAAAAATGTTTAAAAAATTGTTTAGAAAAGCTGCACTTTTTACCGCATTTAGACTATATGGAATTTTTATCGTTGAGTTGATAAAACTTTTATTTAAAATTGATTTCGGGCATGTAACTGGCATTGGAAATCACTGGCCGCTTAAAGAGTTGAACTCTGAGAAAACGGTTCATTCTATAGAAAAAATGTTCTTTCTACTAAAACTCATTTTAGTTTAAAATCATCTTTACTGACTAGACTAAATCCCATATTGTTCTGAAGCTATTTTTTTATGGTATCTTAATGCAAATACTATTTTTATTGGGAATAAGCCACAATTTAAGTTTAAAATATGTTTATTTTTAACGTTTCGATTTCCACTTCGGAACAAATTTCGTTTTTTGTTAAGGTCGATTCAGACACATCAGTCCCGTCACAGTCTCCGCGCCGAACCGGTCCTGTTTGGTCACAGAACTATCAACTATCTGACAGCTAGCAAACTGTTCGTCAACTGATGAATGTGAATGCCGGCGCCATATTTCTATTAAAGAATATTTTGTATGACGGATTGTTCGGTTCGGCGCCAGGACTGTGACGAGACGTGACTGATGTGTCTGAATCTACCTTTACTTGGTGAAAAATTCTATATTTCGCCATATTTCTATTAAAGAATATTTTGTATGACGGATTGTTCGGTTCGGCGCCAGGACTGTGACGAGACGTGACTGATGTGTCTGAATCTATCTTTACTTGGTGAAAAATTCTTCCAATTTAATTTTATCTGACTCATTTATATTGACAATTCAGTCATGTATTATCCATTTTAAAGGAGACGACTTTAAAATGATATTGCCAATATTGCTGAGTTGCGTTCCTGGATATAGTTCATTCGATTAGATGAAATCAATTTCAACTTGAAAATATTCGTCAAGAAAATGGTTGAGTTTTATCAATAAAACGAGCAGTTCTAATTTAAGTAAATATATTTATTTATAAGCTTGTAGTACGATGATATCTTATCAACTAAAAACTAATATCAGCGATGTTTATTTGTGCAAGTTATTATATACTAGAATAATCTGGAATAGTCCACCTCTATTTCCGCTTGTATTTGACATCTCGATCTCTCACCCGGTCGATACATCCGGAACATTCCCGAACACAGATCGTCGTCTCGAGATGCAACGGTTATATGAGCTACGTAGAAATAAGCATGTTCATTACATTGCTCCCCTCTTAGATCTGAGCGTCCCGATCACCAACTTTACATGAAGGCCCAGGATGGCGGAATCTACAGAACTCTCCAGCTCTGCAAAAACCCTCAGAAAGAAATAACAGTCTACTGTCTTTGAAGGACATGATCTCTTCGGATTAATGCAACACACTGTAATTTGTACTGATCATTTCAGGCGTGCTTCTGACAATCTTCCAATCCAGATTTTATAGTTCATGGATTATCTTGGGTAAGGCCAAATTCTTGATGTCACAATTGCACACGATTTTCTTTAAATTAGTTAGTGCACGGCATATATTCTCGTAGCTCCCCTTGTCTGTATACGACTTCCTGGTCACCATATACAGCAAAGATCGAGGACTATCTTCTAATCTAAGTACCTTTCAAACTTTAGGCTGCTTATTTTTTAACTCGTCCAAACGACCGAACTGCTGATAGAATACGGACGAGATTCCTTTAGTCATCTCAAGATCTTGGGCAACACAGTGGGCTAGAGAGACGTTATGCGGAACACTAAAAAGATCCTGCTGAACTTCTGTGGTTACGCCGAATCTTGCACTCTTTCTCTCTACGTAATTTGACATAAATTCATTAAAGCTTGGTCCCCGGTCATCTTTGATCTCATGTTGAAGGGTTCATGTTTCTTTCGTTTCATTTGAGCCAGCATAAGGTACAAGCCGATTTATGTGAACTTCTTTTGGTTTACCTTTCAGCAACTTCTTCTTCTTCTTCTTAAGGTGCCGTGCATTTCTGCGTAGGCGTCCACCGTACATCGTCTTGTCAGGTGAGATGTTAAATATTCAGGATTAAATAATTCTGTTTTTAGCAGGATTTCATAGCTGTGGATTCCTGTCCATTGTCAAATATTGCGCAGCCATTTTTTTTACGTCCCTGACCTCTCCTACCCTCTATCTTTCCTTCAAGTATCAGTTGCTGAAAAGTGTATCTTTCTCCTCGTAATATATGCCTTAAGTATGCAGTCTTCTTACTTTTTACATAACTAAAAAGTTCCCTATCCTGTAAGCCCGCTCTTCTGCGTACTTCTTCATTTCTGACCCTGTCCGTCCATGATATTCTAAACATTCGACGCAGGCACCACATTTCAAACACTTCAAGCTTGTTAATGGAACTGGCCTTTAATGTCCATGCTTCCATTTCGTACAGGAGAACAGGCCACACGTAACACTTAACCATCTTGTATCGGAGGTTGAAGTCCAATTTGCGATCAGTCAGAAACTTATGAAGCCTCAAAAAAGCATTTCTGGCTTGTTCAACTCTGCTCTTTATTTCATTCTAGGGGTTCCAACCCTCGTTCAGCAAACAGCCCAAGTATTTGAATTGCCTGACCTGTTCGATTTCTTCTCCAGAGACATATATCTTTACGTTGGGGTAATCATTTCTACTTATAATCATTGTTTTTGTCTTCTGGATATTTATTTTCAAACCCCGAGCTTCACTTGCAAGAGTTAGATCATTTAAAAGGCATTGAAGATCTTCGATGTTATCTGCCACTATGGCTGTATCATCGGCATACCTGATATTATTAATAAATATGCCTTTAACTTTACTACCCTTATTAGAGTCTGCCACTGCTTCTGCGAAGGCTTTTTCTACCGATAAATTGAACAGCATTGGAGACAGTATACAACTTTGCCTTACTCCTTTTTTAATGGAGAAATCTTCTGTTTCGTTGAAATTTTGAAGACGTACTGTTGCTGTCTGGTTCCAATACAGATTGGCGATAATTCTTATATCCTTGGCATCCATTTCCAACTCTTGTAGGTATTTTATTATCAATTCGTGTTTTACATTATCGAATGCTTTCTCCTAATCGATGAAACAGACAAAAACATCCTTTCTTTGATCTAAACAATTCTGTATTAATGTTTGCATACTAAAGATCGCTTCTCTCGTGCTAAGTCCATTTTTGAAACCAAACTGACTCCGTCCACTGACCTCTTCACATTTCTTCAACAATCTAGTCTGAAGTATTCTCAGGAAAAGTTTTAAAAAGTGACTCATTAGGCTTATAAGTTGGTGGTCCTTGCAGAAGTTGTAGATGTAGATGTAAATGTAGATCGAAGCCAATCTTTTGGAATCTGGCCCGTATCGTAGATGTCGTTAAAGAGCTTGACAATAATGTCTAGGTTTTCTTCATTAAGTAACTTGATTGTTTCTGCGTACATATCATTTGGTCCTAGGGTTTTGTTACTTTTTAACAAAACCCCAGGACTTATTTGTTTAGCAACTTCTTAATTTGGTATATTACGTTATTTATTCTCTTTTTAGTTTCATTCGAACCTTTCCATTGTCTTTGCAGTTTAGGAGACAAGCCTCGATGACATTGTGGATTGTAAAGCCAAATAAGAGCACCTACTTCATAACTTTCATTCTTGCATCGAGAATCATATTGATCTTTCATTTTGTCACTGGCTAACTGGATGTGTTGTCTGGCACGTTCATGAATGTTGTATATTCTTAACTTTGGGCAGTCGACATTCTTCGCTTACAACATGTTCTTCGAAAAGTCTGCAACCAATCTCTAGGTCGCAGGGTAAACAAACTTCACGATCTAACATCAGGCAGGTTAGAGTCTGGCCTGTAGTTTCATTCACGGCCAAGCGGTAGGCCATTAGGAGTAAATGAATGTACTGATCCCAATATCTTTGATGTTCGGATTCAACAGGTGTTTACCCATCGTTTGATTCATCCTCTCGACCGTTCCATCTGATTGAGGATGCATGGGTGTCGCTCTGGTCTTATTGCCACCAATCAATTTACAAACGTTTTGGAAAAGGGTTGACTCGAAGTTCCGGCCTTGGTCGGAGTGGATCTCCAATGGAACACCAACTCGACTAAAGAATTCATTAACAAGTATCTCTGCAACGGTAGCAGCTTCTTGATTTGGTACCGATTGGGTCTCACTAGATTTCGTAAAATAATACATGGCTACTAGTATATATTTATTTCTATCATTCGTCTCTGGAAATGGACCTGCAATGTCAATTGCCACTCTTTCCATAGGACAACCAACATTGTACTGTTTCATGGGTGTTCTCTTTTTACCAACTGGACCATTACTGGTTGCACACTGTTCACAGTTTGCACACAGTTGCACTCTTTTGCAGAGTCTTCGTAATACCAAATTGTCCATCTGATGCACCGTCATGCAACTGACACAATACTTCTGACACTTTACTTTTAGGTACAATCAACTGAAGCTTAGTTTCTGTACCATCATCGTTCTCAAAGATTCTATATACAAGATCATCTTTTAGCACTAGACAATTCCATTGGCTCCAGCAAGACTTGACTTATTCTCTTTATTCAATCTTTTT